AAAACATTAACACATAATTATATCGATATTCATATTGAAATTTAATTAATTTATTTATTTTACACAAAATATTAACTTTTAATTAGTCAAAATATTAATTTAATTAAATTTCAATTGAAATTCTTTCTTTATTTAAGTAAACATAAGAAAATTCAAAGTTTGTTTTGGTTTGTATTTAACTTATCATAAGATTCGAATATATTAAATAAAAAAAATAATTGTGTACGATGTAAATCTTTGAAAATTACCAACGTTGCATTTTGGTATTATACATATCTCACACATTTTAAAGAGTTCTTTAAAACTCGAAAAGGAATAGAGCAGCTTTCTTGGTGCTTCAAGAGACACTTGAACTCGTTCGTCCACCATAGTGCTTCACGTTTATTTTTCGCGGGACGAGGAGACAGACGCGAGTCACGTGATTAGTCGTTCAACTTTGCAGCGCGAACTTTCTCCGCTATGTTCGATTTTCTGTCTAAAAATAATAATCAATTATTCATAGTTTTTCAAGACATTTTTCCGAAGTTATTCAAATTATTTCTAGAAATAATATTCTACGATTTTTCACATTTATTAAATTTACTTGGCGAAATATTTAACACTAGATTTACCACCATTTTCAGTATACCTATTTCTACCACACTAGTCAAAATGATTGCTGTATAGGAAAAAAAAATACTTTTGCTGAGGCTTCCAGTCTTTATTTACTCTTAAAAAATAACAGAAAAATGTTTAACAATAATAATTTTCATAGATAAATGAATTTATAGATATTTTTAAAATAACAAAATGCCTAATTATTTACAAAAGTAGAAATTTTCAATTAAAATGGCCCGACCAGTCAAAATGACTGGTCTGGTATATCTAGTGTTAATATTATTCACACAGTATATTATTTTCTTTTATTTATAAAAATTAAGAGAGAAAAATATCGTTAATATTAAGTAAATAAATATAATAATATTTAAATGTATTACAATACAGTATATTACAAAGACAGTATAAAAACAGTACCACTTTATTATAATATCCTTTGCAATGGTAATTAAATATTTATTATTTTATTAACACGTATAAATATTAAAATATAAAAATATGCTAAAAAGACGTGTGTAGGTTGTAAAGTATTGAGCCTAGCATAGAATTAATTTTGAGCTTTAAAAAAAAAGGTTTTTTTCAACCCACCTTCGTACAGTATATTAAATAACAAAACATATATAATATTACTTGATATTATTACTAGGGGTGTCACAATCAGTCCGATACACACGTCTTTCGCAATAAAATAATATTGCGAATTATAAATTCAGATCTAAACTATCGTATCTTTCAAGTTGAATAAAACTGCACAAAGTGTGCAAAATTTGTTTAAAATCAGTTCAGTAGTTTAGGAGTCCATTGCAGACAAACAACGTGACACAATTTATAGATATATTAAGATTATATTTGTAATCATTAATAATTAAATATTACTATTAATACATCATCAAAACATATATAATTGTAATTCTCGTCGTCTAGACACAAAAAAAAAAGATAATCACGGAGCGTGTAATTTTGTTTTAAAGCAGAAATCGTAGTACTGTCGGTCACCCGGTAACCCATCCGTAAGTTTATCGTAGCAAAAGCTTGGTGCAGGTGCAGCACACCAGAAATCCTTTTGCCGTTTCTCGCACTCTCTTTTGCTTATACGGCCTTCTACATTCTCAACATAAAATACATAGAACTTATACTATATAGTCGAGAGAACATGGAAAAGTGCAACGATCTTGTGATCACCTGGACAACAAGTCTAGATAAAACCTTTTCTCTTTCGTCGAACATTTTCAATCAGTCCAACTAATTGTAAGGGAAATCGTCTCTTTCTCTTTCTCTTTCTCTCTTACTCTTTCTCTTTATATCCATTTCTTTTCATGTTAAAAGAATCGATTTCTTTCTCGAAAATGATCTTACAAAGTAACCCGCACGTCAATGGGATCATCTTAGGGGAAATTATAGTGAAAGTTAGAGACGAACGAGATGATGAAGATTAAATGAAATGAAATGAAATGAAATGAAATAAATAAATAAATAAATAAATCGAAGATTTATCTGTACATTCATCAATTGTTTTCTAAAATTTATTTATTATTAACAATGATTGAAATTTATATTTATATATACCTACTTATTTATCTTCATATTTATAGTTTCTAATAATAATAGAAATTATTCTGTTTGTTTAATTAACGAATAAAATTGTTGTGAAAGTAAGAAACTAACAAAGAAATCAAATTCAAAGATTTATCTTTTCTTTGGAATTTTATTATCATGACTGAACAAGTGATTAAAATGTTTCTTTTCATCATCATCATCATCATCATCATTATCATCATTATTACAAATAATGATATAAATTATTAATTTGACCTATTAATAATTCGTAATATTTGTTTCTTATTTTCTATTCATTTGATATTATATTCGTAGTGAATTATAATTTCGAAATATAAGGCCCAATTTCTCATAGTTACGTCTCGACCTGTATCTAACATATTTCTTTGTTTTTCCCTTTCAAAGCTAAACCTACTCCTTTCTTATTGTTTAGAAAGAATGACGCGACCGTGACAATTAGACCGATCTACCTGCTGGTTTCGTGATAGAAGTGAAAGGAGAAGAGAGAGAGAGAGAGAGAGAGAGAGAGAGAGAGAGAGAACCGTTTTCATATCTTATGTTTAGGTTTGTGTCGATGTAAGTAGTGTGTGTTCTTGATGTTTCTTGTTTTTTTTTTATTTTTTTTTTTTTTATGACGTTCGAATATTTAGAGAAACGAGAAAGGATTTCGAATGTAATTGTAAAAATTCCTTCTCTCTCTCTCACTCATACACACACACACATTTCTTTAAGCAATCCATTTCTTTCTTTCCTTTATTTCTTATTTATTTTTTTTTTTTTTTCGTACAATTAAATTTAGAAACATTCAATTTGAAAAAAGAGTGTAAAAATTATTAATAAACTATGGGTGTCCCATAATAATGCCTTATTAAATAAATAAGACTTATAAAAAAATTAGCAAACGCTAATGTTAAATTATTTGTAAATGAAATGAAGTAATTATTAATTATTTAATGTTATTAATTAATTATTATTTAATTTTTTTCTTCTATTAATTAATTTTATTAATATAATAATAATTAATGATTAATTATAATTACTAAAAGAGGTATATTGTTTAATGTTGTTTATATTGTTTTATATTGTTCTTTTATATTGTTAACATTAATATCTAATATTATATTAGGGCATAATTAGAATTAAGTATATTGTCAAGGGGAACGAACATGTAGGGGGCGGGGCCTTCGGGGTAAACACCCTAAAGGGGTATACCCGAAAAATAAACTTCTTCTTCTATTAATTATAATTATTTTTAATAATTAAATTTTACATTATTTTTTATTCGTAATATATCAATAATTCGAATATA